CTCCTCCTCGGCCGCCAGGATGGCCTGCACCTTCTCTTCGGCCTCGCGCCGCCGGCCCTCCTCCTCCAGCGCCAGCGCCCGCTGCCGCTCAGCCTCCCGCTCTGCCTGCTCCCGGCTGCGCTGCACCTCCTCCGCCTCCCCACGGATGCGGTTCAGTTCCCGCTCCAGCTCGCTCTTGCCAGCTGAGGCCTTCTCGAAGCTGGCTTTGAGGGCACGGATCTCCTCCTCCACCTGCCGCCGCTGCCGCAGCGTATCCTCCACGAGCCCCTTCTGCCTCTCCAGCTCGCTCTCTGAGGAGCGCTTCAGCAGGGCAATCTTCTCCTCAATGTCCTGCTTGTGTTGGGCCGCCTGCTCCTCCAGCAGCTTGCGCTGGTAGGCCTCATCCTCTGCCAGCCGCCGCAGCCGCTCGTTCTCGGCCTCCTTCTCCTTCAGCGCGATCTCCGCCTCCGCCTTCAGCCGTGAGGCCTCGTTGATGGCCGCCAGCTTCTCCTTCAAGATGCGCTCGGCCTCGGCCCGTTGCCGGCTGGCCTCATCCTCTGCCAGCTGCCGCTGTCGCTTGGCCTCCTCGGAGAGGGCGCGCAGGCGGGCGGCCTCCTCGGCCAGCTCCCGCAGCTTGTTGGCCTCCGCCTCCAGCCGCTGCTTGGACTTCTCACTGCTGGAGCGCGATTCCTCCTCCGTCTTGGCCTTGCTCTCCAGCAGGACCTCCATTTCTGCCCGCAGCTTGGCCAGTTCCTCCTCCAGCTCTTTCCTCCTCTGGATGGCCTCGTTTACCTCCCCCTTCAGCCGTGAGAGCTCTTCCTCCAGGAGCAGGCGCTGCTGCTCCCCGTTCTCCATCTCCGCCTTCAGCCGGATCAGCTCCTGCTCGGCCACCAGCTTCTGCTGGGCCGTGCCCTCTGCCAGCTCCCGCTGCTTTTCCAGCTCTTCCTCCGCGAGCTCCTTCTGCCGCAGGGCGGCCTCCTCTGCCTTGGCGCGCTTGCGGGCCTCGCGCTCTGCATCCTCCTTCTGCTTCTCGGCCTCCTCCTGTGCCAGCGACTTCTTGTGGGCCACCTCTTCGGCCTGCAACCGCAGGCGCAGCGCCTCGTTGGCCTTCTGCCGCCAGCGCTCCAGCTCCTTCTCAGCCTCCTCCCGCGAGTGCTCGGCCTCCAGCTGCTGCCTCTTCAGCCGCTCAGCCTCCTCCTGCAGCTGGGCTACCACGTCATGCTCCTGCTGCAGCGACAGCTCCAGCTGCGCTGTCTTCTCGGCGAAAGAAAGCCTCTTGCTCTGCAGCTCGGCCTCAGCGCTGCGCTGGGCCACCTCCTGGGCCACCTGGATCTGCCGGTCCTTCTCAGCCTCTGCCTGCCGCATGCGTCGCTCAGCCTCCTCCGCCTGCAGCCGCAGCTGCTCCAGGTCCGCCACTGCCTTCTGCTTCTCCCGCGCCGCTTCACGCTCGGCTTGCACCTTGCGCTTCAGCTCCTCCTCCGCCTCCCGCTTCTTCTGGCTCTCCTCCTTCACCTGCCGGCGCAGGCGCTCGGCTTCCTCCTGTGCCTGCCGCTTCTGCCGCTCGGCCTCTTCGGCACGTGCCCGCAGCTCCTGCAGCTCCGTCTCCGCGCTCTCCCGCTGCTTCTCGGTGCTCTCCAGCTGCAGGCGGATGAGGCGGATCTCCTCCTCCACTTTCTTGCGGTTGTACTCGGCCTCCTCGATCAGCTTCACCTTGGACTTGATCTGGTGGTCCGAGTTCTGCCGCAGCTGCATCAACTCCTGCTGGATGTTCTGCTTCTGCTGCTCGGCATCCACGGCCACCACCTCCCGCCGGGTGACCTCCTCCTGCATGCGGAGCTGCAGCTCCCGCGCCTCCGCCTCCGCCTGTGCCTTGGCTTTGGCGTGGGCCTCGGCCAGCTGCCGCTGCTTCTCCAGCTGCGCCTCCACCTCCGCCAGCCGCTTCCTCTCCTCCTCTTTCAGCTTCTCGGCGGCTTTCTGGAGGGGAAAGAGGGTGCAGGGGACAGAGAGGGGAGAGAGAGACAAATCACAAGGGATGCGATCGCGCCGTGGATTTGATGCTGGCCCAGCCACGCACTGCCGAGACAGCGGAGGGGTGGCAGATGTGCGTGGAATGGCTTCGGCCCCCGGGCCACCGCACGAGCCGGTGACGCCAGCTTCCAGAAGATGTGTGGCACGACAGGGGACACACGACAGCACAGCCAGACAGGCAACAGGAGCCAGACAGCAGCACGGGAAGCCACGTTCCAGAGAGAAGGGACAGAGAGCGAGCGGAGCCCAAGCGATGAAGACGATGCGAGCAGCGTGCACATCACCACCGTGGCTGCCCCTGCGAGGGGGCTGGCACACACAGCCGTGGGGAAACGAGAGAGACGGCCGGAGCACCGGGAGCAGAACAGAGGGGAGCGGTGCGAGGGCGGTGCCGGCAGAGCCTTCCCTGCCGGGAAAGCCTCAACAGGAGAGAGCAGTTCAGCTGGTTCAAACCCGTCCCAGCCCTCTCCAGACAGCCCGGAGCGGGCTCTGCCAAAGGGCCAACGCAGCTGGCGCCTGGCTCGGGGCCGTGCCGCGGCACGCGCACCACATGCACCGTGAGCGAGGCAGCCGCGCGCTCGGCGGGGCGGGCAGCGCATGCAGGGGAGCCAGACCCACAGCGGACCCCTGGTCCCGGCGCAGATGTAGAGGAGGGCGAGGAGAGGGCGGTGAGCCGTGGGGGAGGCGGAGGGTGCCGCGGGGAGAAGGCATGCGCAGAGTGAGTACCTGGTGCACGGCTGCCAGAGTCATCCTGGTTTTTTACCCTCCATTAGATCCCCACCAACACAAATATTCCCCAAGAAAAAGCACTGGCAAAGCGGCTCCAAGGGCAGAAACCAAGAGTTAGAGAGGTTACCCCGCGCCAGACCCCGCGGGCCAGCGCCCGGCACAGCAGCATGCGCAGGCAGGTGCTGACTGCACGACGTGTATCTGGGAAGTGCCTCCTACCACCAGTCACACCAGAGCCCCGGTGCCCAGAGCCCCGGTGCCCAGAGCCAGCTTGGCCCGGAGACCCGCTGTACGCAGAGCCAGCAGCCTCGCTCCCAGGAGCCCAGCAGGGAGCAGGAGCTCGGGGCTGTGGGCCAGTGTTACTGAGAGGGCCAGAGTCATGGCCAGTGTTACTGAGAGGGCCAGAGTCATGGCCAGTGTTAGTGATGGGGCTGGAGCCACAGCCATGGGCCACTGTTAGTGATGGGGCTGCAGCCACAGCCATGGGCTGGCGTTAGTGGTGGGGCCAGAGTCAGGCCATGAGCCACGGTCAGTGAGAGGGCCGGAGTCATGGCCGTGGGCTGGCGTTAGTGATGGGACCAGAGACCCCCTGAAGTGCGTTCCTTTCGGTTATAGAGCCGGCCATGCCACCCTGCACCGCTCCCTACCTCCTCGTCCTCCAGCCGCCGCAGGGTCTCGGTGATGAACTTGATGTACTGGGTGGTGAGCGTGGTCAGCTCACTGTACTGCGTCCGCAGGTCCACGTACTGTGGGGACAGTGGGTCAGTGGGAGAGACGGGAGCTCGCCCGCGGCCCGCCGGTACCCCAGCAATGATGGGGCTGCACGGAGGCAAAACCACGCGCCACATCCCCAAGTCCACCCCTGCAGTGAGCAGCCACGCCCCAGGAGCTGCAGGACATCCCAGGCCAGGGGCAGCGAGACCCCCCCCTCACCTCCTGGATGATGCTGTCAGATGCTGACTGCACTTTGGGCTTCTTGGCCGGCGATGCCACCGGCTCCACCTGCGCCTTGAAGCTCACCAGCTGCAGCTCATAGTCCTGGTGAGGAGAGAGTGATCAAAGCTCTGTGACCTGGGACGAGCCACGGTGCTGTGAGCCCACCCCTGCACCCCACACCCACTGTGCTGCCCCCTCAGCCCCCCAGGCAGTGGGCACACCTTGATGGCGTCGATGTATTGCTTGGCGTAGCGCTGGCACTCCTCCACCTTATCCTTGTGCTGCTCACACTCCTCCAGCAGTTTCTGGGGAGACATGTGGGGGTGAGCCCAGGCACCCCACGGCCACCCCAGAGCACACCTCACCCCAGGGATGGCCAGGAGCATGCCCTGCCATGGCTGGGAATGGCCAGGAGCACCACGTGCCGTGCCATGGCTAGGAATGGCCAGGAGCACCACGTGCCCCGCCATGGCTGGGAATGGGCAGGAGCACCACGTGCTGTGCCATGGCTGGGAATGGCCAGGAGCACCACGTGCCGTGCCATGGCTAGGAATGGCCAGGAGCACCACGTGCCCCGCCATGGCTGGGAATGGGCAGGAGCACCACTTGCCGTGCCATGGCTGGGAATGGCCAGGAGCACCACGTGCCCCACCACGGCTGGAATGGCCAGGAGCACCACGTGCCCTGCCATGGCTGGGAATGGCCAGGAGCACCACGTGCTCTGCCATGGCTGGGAATGGCCAGGAGCACCACGTGCTGTGCCATGGCTGGGAATGGCCAGGAGCACCACGTGCCGTGCCATGGCTAGGAATGGCCAGGAGCACCACGTGCCCCGCCATGGCTGGGAATGGGCAGGAGCACCACTTGCCGTGCCATGGC